ATGAAAAAAGCACTTGCGAAAAACGGACCCGCTAGGTGGTGCTGGAGTCGAGATATTTATTAAAGCAGTATGTGAAAGTATTTATGAACCTATTTGGTTAATACACATTCGAAACGTTTATTACTAGACTGCGGATTTTTATGCAAAATACGAAGCCTAGAAATATGTACCACATAACTATAAGCAAAGTCTATAAATTTGTATAAACAAAATGTATAGAAGTTTATACACTTTGCTTATAGTTATGTGTAACATATTTCTAGGCATCGTATTTTGCATAAAAATCCGCAGTCTATTTATTACTTTCATGATGATTTTTTTTATTTATTCGAAACATATTAAACCTTATCATGAGTTTCATCTTCCCTGAACCGGTTCAGTTTTCGCTTTTGGTTTCTATGTACTTGCTATGGGGGGAATCAAAATTTTCGCGTGAATTTTTTTTCGGGGGAAACTCAGGACAAGGAAGATTACATACATAAAATGATAGCCATTTCCGTTTTTCGGACTAAACTCAAAAACCACTCAATAGAGCCCAGTCAAATTGTCGGAGGATATACCTTGCATATATGGTCCTATTATAGGCTACTAGAAAACACGCTGATGGCGCTGGAGTAGAATTACTTATAAAAGTCGTATTTATTAACAGATTTCGTTCAAATTCGCAGCGTGACTACCTGTATGATGAAAAATTCCCTTGCTCAAAATGGACCGCAGAAGTTTAGGTATTTAGAAAAACCGTATTTTTTATAAAATCTGATTGGAATTCATAAATCGTATTCATTTCATAACATGCAAAAGTTTTACAGAAAAGTGACCCAATGGATGACGCTGCACCTTTCAGTCGTACAAGACCACATCTTATGTCGGTAAATATAATCTGGTCCTCTCAGCAATTAGCAGCGATGCTTTAAAGGAAGCTGCGGATGTTTTAAAAACCTTACCAACTCAAGACCGATATATTAACCTGTGGCAGTGAACCACAGACGGGATTGCAGCAGCAAAAATCACTGGGGAATAGATGCATAGTTAAATACGTAGTTCTTGTTTAAATCTTCCATCTAAACTTACCAAGAAAACAGTTATATCGTTGAAAAAGCAAGGCCAGTGGCAGTGAACCACAGACGGAATTGCAGCGGAAGGAAGCACCGACCAAAATAACTACAAATCTCTCTACTCTAAACCGATGTTTTTTTGCCGAATTAATGTTGAAATTTCTAATTTAATTTTCAGTTGCCAACGATAAGAATAGAGTAAATGTCAAAGAATTGTTCAGTGATTGCAAATCAGTTTTGGAATAGGGAATGAGGTAGTTTAGTACTTTTTTAAAGGCGATAAAATGTAGTTTTTTCAAGAGGGAAACAC